AATTTTTGTGTCTAAGCTTCCTCCTGCCTCACTCACTATTGCTATGAATCCACACACTGCATTTGGAACTACAACAATTGTTGATGTATCAAAGGCTGCTTGATTTTACCTAGATCAGGTACCAACAGCACAAAGTTGAGAATAATACAGGCTTTAGCTTGTGCTTTTTGTGTCTGCTGGGACCTCAAGCACTTAGCAAGGAAATGAACCTGCAATGAGTTCTATGCTATCACAATTTCACTTCTGCTAGAACCTGAGGAACCTGTTTTGAGATGAATATGGATGCTATTATCGCACCTACACACCCCTGCTCTGGGAGGAAAAGTCACAAAATGCCAAGTTCTGAAGTCCAGACTAAAGTGAACTAGGTCAGAGCAGAACTGCAACCTCCATTTTCATCAGTAGCCTTTTGCCTTATTTTTAACTTGGTCTTTTAAGGAGGCTTTGTCTCCAATGGCCAGATGTGCCACAGCTGAATCTCTACAAACATGGCCTCTGACAGAGAAGAGGCTTATACCTGTTCTCAAAATCCAGGGCTTTGAATTTCACTTTGGATCAAATGGCAATCAATGCAGGTCACAGGCTGACTTTTCTTCACACTTTTAGCAAGAAATGTTGCTCAATGAACAATCAGCATGTCAGAGCTCCCTTCAGTATGAATACAAAGGCACATTTGTTAGAGCCTTTCCAGCTCAACTTTGATAGCTCTGCCTAAAGACACTATTCAGCTTCTGTGTAAAGAGCAGTCCTCAGCCCAAAATGTTCTCCAAATTCCATCTTCAAATTCCTAACTCCCTCAAACTTGTATATAGTATCATACATCCAATAAACTCCCATGGATACATAGCTACATATTACATTAATACTTCAATTTGGATTTATCTTGTTATTTCTGCATCTACTGCTTGTCAATTTAATTTTTCATTTGCGTTCTCTCCCTAGTTTAAAACCTTACAGATTAGGAAATAATGGCACTTAAATCCTTTTGTGCTTCATGTTATGTATGATAACACCTCTGGCTGTGAAAATCTACGACTAACACTGGCATTATATTGTTGAACTAGTCTTAAAATAGGTACAGCATCCACAGCAACCACAACTTTAGAGAAAGAAACAGAAAAAATCTTTCATTGGCCTGATAGGCAGCAAGTTATACAGCAACTGCTTATGGAAAATCAGACTGTGCCGCCCTTTTTCTCTGTAGGTGTAAAAGGTGCTTCAGTTTGGAAGAAAAATGGTTTATAAAATCTTAATAACTACGAAAAAACCAAAGATAACAAATACAGTTCTGAGTAAAGACAAACCTTCTTCATGTGTTGCTGCCTATGTTGTCACCAAATTGTACGTGTCTTTTCATCTCACCAACTACAAGCAGTGCAATCATACATGTCCCAGCTGGCAGTTCTTGTGGTGCATTCTCTAAGAACATCTAAAGTGTCCCCACTTCAGTGGGCCAAGGAAGTCTATGCTTAGTTTAGTTTTTCTATCTTCATTAACCACAGACACAGTAAAAAAGATTAAATAAAAAAAAACCAAACCAACCAACCAAAAAGAAAACAAAAAAACCCAAACAAAATGAAAATCCAAATGAGCAAACAAACACAAACAAACAAAACACACACAAAAATCACTACAGTGGATTTTCCACTATGCAAAAACCCCATAAAGAAATAGATATCAAGAAGTGATGTGACAGGAATTAGTCCTGCATTCCACCTTCCCTCGCACACAATATGGGCTCCACTTATGCTGAGAAAGCCTGAGGCAATATGCAACTGTCTGAGGTCAGAACTACTATCTGCAAAAAAACAGCAACAAGTATATTGTCTGTTCTGAATGAAGCATAAATCCTTTGGGGATCTGATTGTTTTTGATTCAGTCTTCCTCTTCTTAGCTCATCTCCCTGCAGATCGACAACCAAAGATAAAGATGTCCCTGACATTGCAAAGAGAATGACAGGACAGCATCTACTTGATTTCCTCTACACCCCATGATACAGAAAGCAAATAAAAAGGCCAGGAGAAGGACAAGAGAATCAGTGATTCAGACCACACACAGTACTTGGTTTCTCTCTTCTTTGTTTCTGACTCCATGAGGGATCACCTGTTACTTTATCAATCCCAGTGGGATAAAAGGCAAGAAAATTATTGGAACTCCCTCTAAAGCATCTGGAATCACAATGAGAGAGAAACACAGCAAAGTCTCAAGGAAAAGTTAAAGGACAGCAACATTTAAATCTGCTCTTCTGTATTACTCATGCCATAATCTCTTTCCTATTTTTATAAAAGGTTTATTAGAAAAAGCAAATCAATCAGATGGATATCTGACATTTTCTGTACCTTCAGGCCTTTCTCCAGAATACATTTGTTCAACAACAGGTCCAGAAAGTGGATATGACACAGAAAGTGCCTTTAAGATAATGAGCTGCATATTGAGCAACTAAATATTTTTTTTTAGCTTGGGACAGGCAAAGGAAGTGGAGGTATGTCTAAGTTGAGTGGCAGGGAAACACAGCTATCTTTGGCATTCGTGACTCAAACAACTCTGCCTGTCCACCTCTGAATATGAACATCACTGGTGATCAGACATCAGTCACTTGAAAAAGGAATCACTCTGGCAGCTTTAAAAGTAGCTTGTTTTAAACAGCATTAGCCTCAAATGCAATGGTTTTCTAGAGGGATATTGAAAAAGTGTCTAGAAGTTCTCCATGTGGTACCAGTCAGCAGTTACTGTTGCTGCCTATGTCAGGAGAGGTCCGCAATTAAAAGGGACAGCAAATGTGAAAATAAAAACATGAAAAAGAAAATTGAAGCAGGAAACAGAAATAGAACTGCAGTAAAACATTATGGCTATTCACTGAGAGCAAACAACTTCACCATAAAATCAAAAAATTGCCCAAAAATGCAAAGAAAGAGAAATATGTCATATACTGGAAACTGGTTTGGTGATGTAATGTTAAGAAACATCACTGGATGCAGTTCACTGAATAGCTGGGTAAGGGAAAATATTATTCATACAACGTAAGTTCCAATCTCCTGCCATTTATCCTAGATCTGACCTTCTTTTCCATGCTCCATTCCTCCCACATACACACAGTTTCAGTGACTAAAAACACGGTGAAAAATGAAGAGGGCAATAAGTACAGCCTGAAAGGAGGTGTTTTACCAACTGGATCCCAGCTCTGAAAGAGTCACCTGGGGCTGCTCTCCTGCAGTGCTGGGCAGCCCTGGACTGCAACAAAATCAGCTGGATTTTCAGCACAGTTCTTGATAAACCCGAACGAAGCAACCAGAACTCCTGTACCCTTCACAGTTGTTTCCCTCCCCAGGACTTAGTACTGAATTTTTTAAAATCTTATTTTTTTCCAGAAGAGAGAATTCAAATTATTTCACATCTCAGTGATAACGTGGTAACATAGCTTCAATACTCCAGCTAGGAGTGACAAAGTGACAAGTACAGAAAATAGTTTTTAAAAAAAGCATTTAATCACTTAGCATTCACATCTTTGAACTGCTGCATGAAGTGCTACCCAAAAGCTAAATATTGTTAAGAGATCTCTTGGCTCTGTTTATACTGTGAGCACACTATACCACCAAAGCCCTTACAAAACTTGCAGCCACTCTTCATTACATTAACAGGAACATGATAGTGGAATTTACAGTAGAATATTAAAATTGAAGGAGCTTTCGGTTTCCATTAATGCCATTAACCCAGCAACAACAGCAAGCACTTTGAAATAATACTACCAATCAAAAAATCCATGTTTGGGACAGCAAAGCAGTGAAATGCTATGGTACTTCTTAGGTAGGGGGATTTAACACTGCTTGCTGCAGAGTCTATGAATCAGTTTCGCTACAGAACTCTAAAGCCACAGGTCCCAAATATAAATCTTTTTCTCATAATCCCATTCTTGGTCTTTTCATGTTAGTACTGGACTTCCAGGATAAATTGTTGCTAAAGTAAGTTTGGTCTTTTTTCCTACAAAATTTGCCAAACCAACTGCTGGAATGCATTTGTATTGTCCTCTTCCTAGAAGAATTTCTGTAACATTCCCATTGACCTAATTGCAGGTTTTGGCCTGAAAAGATGACACGTTTCTGTGAATCTGGTAAAGCTGTTGAGACAGGGATACTAGAAATGAAGTACCCTTCTGGCCCCTTTCATCAAGCTCCAGGCTGAATCCCCTTAGGAATGTGATGGCATTTCTTCTCCCTGCTTTTTTCTAAAATACTATTCTAAGCTGCTTAAAAAAGAAAAAAAAAAAAAAAAGGAAAATATTAAAATCTGACCAAAATAACACAGAAATTTAAGTAAAGACAGCTGGAAAGATGAAAGAGTGATAATGTTTAGATGTAAACCAACAACTGGCAGGAACTAAATTTTGTCCCAGAAATGTATGTTATTAAAGAATACAGTGTCAGTGAGGAAATCCCTGAAACCACAATACAATTACATTGTTTTAAGTCTTTATTTGGAAAGCATTATCATTACTTAGAGAAAAACAAGAGTTTTCATGTTTATATAGTTAGTATGAGTGTGGTACATCTTACAGTAAGTCTTTTTCTTACAGCAGGAGAAGAAAAAAATAATAATCATGGGACAAAATTAATTGTTTGTAGATAGCTTAAAGCCAGGGTAGATACCATAAGCCATCATTAGGCAAGCAATTCAAATGAAGAAATATATAAAAGTGTGATCAATATTACATACTATATTAGACTTAAAACACAGTCTGCAGAGCCTCCAACCCAAAGCAACTTCTGCTTTTGCTCCTGATGCAGATGAATCTTGCTCTAAGCTCTAAGTCCCATTTTATGGCAGACACAGTGCCTGTATCCTTTACTCTGGCAAAATCCTTGGATGTGCCCACAATTCTATTTGGAGTCATGTTTCAGGGACCCATATATAATCATGTCTCTACTGTATCAGTGTGCTGTGTTCCTGGTTTTAATATATACTCCTAATTTTCTAAACTCCTGTCATCATCAGGGCTTCCTTACCTGCACAGATTTTCCCGTCGTAGGTCTCGCACACCCAGTCGTGGCACTCACAGAGCGGACCGTAGTATTTGCCAGACTCAGTCACTTGGCAGATGCAGACTCCACACTCACACCTGCCTCTGTCATTGCACAGCTTCCCCCCTGGGACGTGGCACCTGAGCTCCGACTCAGCCTGGGACAGCCGGCAGGAAGCAGGAATACCCAAAGCGCTCCTGTGGGGGACAGCAAACAGAATAAGCTGCGGTCAAAGCCAGGGGACGCAGCTCATAGCCGATGAGAACTTGGCACCACTTGGCACCATTTGAAACCATCCTCCTGCCACTGGCTTCAGCCAACACCCAGAATATTGTTCTTACCACCTCTTCAGCTATGGCTGCAAGTTATTACGTGCCTCAAATCACCCAGTTTTCTTCATTTTCATCAGAAATCTCATTGCTACCTGCAAGAATGCTTATTTTACTTACCTTTTTAACTACATTGGCCTCATCTACTTTCCCATCAGGCATATCTGGTATATATGCACAGACACTTACAGCTTGATTATCCATCATGAAACATTTTGATCTTAATTATTTTAAAAAGTTTAGAGACACCATATACATCAAATATCTGGGTAGCATAACAGGAGTATATATCATACAGCACACTTAAGGTTGATTCTAATAAAATATGTTTGCCAAAGTAATCCTTCTGGTTGTCAGACATATATGATCCATGCTTCCAATGGAAAAGGAGATCAAAGTAATCATGGCTTTCCACACAACACTGTAGGTTGTGGCTGTGGTTTTGGTAAAGGCAGCAGAAGCCAATTCTAGATCCATAGATTTGCAGCTCTGCCATGCAATTGTACCAGGCACCGGAGCACATCGGGATCAGGACTTTCAGGACATACTCAGGGAAAAATCCCACTTTGTCTCATCAGGAGTAGAATCATAGGAAAACCAACAAAGGACTGCTCAGGCCAAAACAGGTCTTCACAACGCTAAGGAATACTGAAGATGTAGATGAATAGAACCTGCCCTTCTCAGACAGCAGATTTTGCAAGGCTCTGGAGCAAAGGAGCCACTGGCCTTAGGAGCCAGTGTGTGCTGGCTGTGGTGGAGGCGGAAAGTGAAGGGCAGCGCACCTCACTGTGCCACTGCACCAAAGTGTACCAATAAGCAGGGTTCTGTGGTTAGGTGCCTGCTCCATTCAGGCAGCAGAATCTGGAGGTTTGGGTGTAAAGAGTCGTCGCTAGCCAGCTCTTCTCCCTTCACTGCTTTCAGAGTGTGCATTTGGCATCGAATGCATCGTTGCAAATAACTCTGCAGTCTGCACATGCCCCTACCTACTGAGGTTCCCAGCGACCCAAAGCGCTTCCCTCAGTGTCACCTTTAAGGAGGCAGAGGAAGAGCCAACAAAGTGCTCCACCGCTCCTTTCGTTACCCCAGCTTCCACACTCCTGCACCTCAGGATCCGCCGCACCCCCCGTGAGAGCTGCGAGCCGCACTTACCGCAGGGCCGCGGGCCCGGCCGGCAGCGCGGGGCCCAGCAGCAGCAGCAGCAGCAGCCCCGGCAGCCCCGGTGCGAGCATGGTGCGAGCTGTGCTGAGCCGCACCTGGGGCGCTCCTGCAGACGGGCGGACAGACGGGCGGACAGACGGGCGGACAGACGGGCGGACAGACGGGCGGACAGACGGGCGGACAGACGGGCGGACAGACGGGCGCACGGAGCCGGCAGGCACGCGGAGAGCTGCGCGCTGGACAAACCCGGCTCCAGCGCTGCTCCCCCCGTGCTGCAGTGGCTCTGATTAGCTGCCTGGGAGCAGGATTTGGGCAGCACTCTGGGAAGGAGGCCGGTGCCAAACCCCGAAGTTTACAGTCTAGGCAGGGAAGTAATTAGAAACAGTTGCGCAGCCAGATGGTTTATTTTGATGTTTTAAAAGTGGCCCTTTCACAGATGTGAACGAACTGTCTCATTCTCAAAGCAGAGGCACTGTAAATATTTGAGGTATGTGTATCCCCCTGTCCTTTGACAGACGGCTGCTTGGGATAATCTGTGAAACTTGTAGGGAGCACGAGACAGGAGCAGCGCTCCCCAGCTGCAGCATCCCTGCCTGGCTGCTGGAGCAGCTCCCTGGCGCCTGCCTCCCCAGGTCCGTGCCTTCCCTCCTCGGCCTGAGGTCACCTGCTCACGTCACAGCACCGTGCGACACTGCAGGCTGCCGACCCACAGCAGCATGACTGACTGCGCATTAAAAGTATTGTTAGTTAGCCATTTCCTAATGCCTTATTAAAACACAGTCCAATACTTCATCTCAGCAGTGGGAGATTTTTGAATTGCTTTAAAACTAAGCTAAAAGGAAGGATAGTCTCTCCAAATGAATCAACTTTGGCAGATATGACCACCTGCCCTTCTTTATGCTGCAGAAAAGTTTTAGATCCCTCTGGCTAACTGACTGCGCATTAAAAGTATTGTTAGTTAGCCATTTCCTAATGCCTTATTAAAACACAGTCCAAAACACAATCCCACAGTCCTGGGAAATTGCTGTTTGCCTGATACCTCCCTGGGATGGAAAGCTCTAAAAGAAACCAACTTTGATCACAAAAGATGGTAAGTTACAGGTGTCCTAGTCTACACACACACGCACATGCATTTTTAAAGCAGGCAGCTGAAAGAAGAAGCTTTCACTGGTTTTGAAGCTTGTATTGGAGATTAAAGCCCTCAGTACCTTCCTCAGAATGAAAAACTCTTGTTTTAATTTCATATTAAATATCTAATATACCAAAGATTATATACTGTTTCAGAAAACATTTTAAGATTTAGTTAAAATTCTGACCCAGAGGCTGCCATTCCTATGAGTTTAAGTGGGTGTCTTACATTTTACATAGTAAACTCAAGGCTACAATTCATAGCATTCCTGATAACATAACTAGTTATGCTAGCTATATTCCTAAAAAAAAAAAAAAAAAAAAAAAAAGTATCAAGTATTTGACTTCATTCTGCTGGCCTTATATATGACCCTAAAAAAAAAAAAAAAAAAATCAAGTATTTGACTTCGTTCTGCTGGCCTTATATATGACAAAAGAACCTTTAAAATCTAGTTTGGGGTCTGTTTTCAGTCAAGTACCTACTTTGTTGGAGGATAAAACTTTATCAAAAATCAAAAGAAGAGACTGGACAAAATATGCTCTAGCATATTTGTTAACATATATTATTAGTCCCTGAAGATAAACAGGTTAAAGCCAAATATTATTCCAATGGACTATTAAAACACAAGATTTTGTTGTATTTTAGTATGTTATCTTGAAGTTGTGAAGTGTAACTGTCTGCCCATAGTGTACTACCTTCTTTATGACACGTAAGTTTACCTTAAAATACAAGCAAGGAGAATTAGGATGTAAAAAAACCTAAAAGCCCCATATACAGCTGTTGCATACGAAATCTATTTTTTACCAGTTTTGCTGCCCTTTATAGTATATTTCATATTGCAAGTGTGTTAAAATATTTTCTCAAGCAATGCAAATCATAAAAATCCTGTATTGAGTGATCTGTTGGCTTCAGTCTTGTGAATGTTTACAGTCCTGCTAACCCCATGCGTTTGACTTACTTTGATGGATCTAGTGAAAAGGAAAGTAATATTGGCAGGCAAATTAATAAATACTTATTTCTGACAGTCCTTGAACTTTGAAGTCCATGCTTAATACAGCACTATGTGTTCTATCTGTGTGATAGTTTTTGAAATGTATTTATAATGCTGCAGTAAAAAAAAAGTTCATAAATTAAAACCCTTTAGATTACAGAAAGGATCACTTTTAAGAACAATGTGATTGTCAGGAATTGTACTGCCTGAAGTCTCAATTTAGAGAAGAATAAAGAGAAAGCTTTGCATTTTAAACAATAGTAATTCTCTTTTAGCACTAAATTTATCTTTAATCCACAACTTTAAAGGCTGCCATCTGTTCATCTTCCTCCTTTTTCCCTGAGCAGACTGTTGCTGACAGGTATTCAGAAGAGTTTCAAGCAGACTACAAACTATAACTTCAAATGTACAAGGAGAAGACATTCACCATGATATGATGAACTTATCATTGTCTTATTCTTTTTACATCTGGCATGTTTTGAAGAAATACACACCTTTTTGCTGTGGACTTTTCGAATTTGGAGAAGGCATACTTACACAGTTGAAGGATGCAGTTTTTGAAATGTGCACCCAGAGCTTAAATTTAATAAATACTTTCAGTGTACGTGTCTCTAACACAATACCTTAGTGCTCCCTTAATGGATTTTAACTTTCAGATTATTATTTAATCATTTAAGCCTAGAATGTATGTATGCATGCATGTATAAACATGTATAAAATATAGATATAGATATAGATATAGATATAGATATACACATATGATGTGTATGTATTCAGGAGCTAATTGGTTTTCAAACAGACTGTAAATTCAATTTAAAAGGAGTCAATCTCTTTCTAAATGGGAACCTGACATGCTGCCTTGATAACTGCTCACTTCCTTTCAGACACTCCTGTACACAACCCTAAGTAACTTTGTTCTCTACTGGATAACATACACCTACACAAAGCACAGCAGTTATAAAATGCAATTCGTATGTATTGGAGTTTCAGACTAAGGCTCTAGACCTGTAGGTGCTTGGTAAATGTATAGTTTACAAGTGGTAATGCCACTTCTTGCAGAATAGAGGTAGAAAAGAGAAAGTCAGCATATTGCTGATGAGCAAGAGATACTGGAACACACCTGCTAATACTAAACTGCCTTTAAAAATAGCCAATAGGTTTGAATAATACTTGACTGACTCAAAATTACTTCAAATAAAGACATGGAATTTAAAAAAAAAAAGGTGCTGTTAAGCACACTTACACTTGAACCTCATTTTTTAAGTGTATCCCTGTTACTGCTCTTGATAAAAGTGTGCAGGATTAGATAAAGACATTGGGATAAACCTTTTCCCTGCAATTTTATTGACCAGTAGAGGAACCAGTAGGGTAATTTCCTATCCAAACTTGTGAAGGCTATTTTTGTGATTTCATACTCTTGTGAACTGTGTAAAAACTAAGCTGCAAGCCTGGGGGTATACAAGATAATTCATAGGCAGTGATATTTTTCTTAAGGCAAACAATATCTTAACTTCAATTTTGCCAGAATTGTTTTTATAATAAATCAAATAAGAATATTATTTTAAAAATAAGGGAAAAAGAAATAAAAAAGCCTTTTTACTCTAAAAGTGGTCTCATGCTAAAGCAGAATGCCCAGCAATGTTGTGGGATCTTCACCCTTGGACATAGTCAAAAGCCATCTGGACAAGGTTTGGGCAACATGCTTTAGGCTGTCTTGCTCTGGGCAGGTGGGTTAGACTAGGCCATCTCCAGAGATCCTTTCCAACCTCAAATATTCCATAATTCTATGACTCTGATGGCATAATGTGCTGTTGAACAAGGTTTGATTTGGTTTGGAGAGGCAGATGGACTATGTCTACTCCTTTATTACAGCTATTATTACAGTGAACATTTTAATTTTGTTGTCACTTCATAAAGCCATCAGCTTTGCAAAACACATTCCATGCCATTCTTAAGGATTTTCTTTTTAACAGAACAAATCAAAATGCACATAAAGTGAACAGTTTAAGCTTTAAAAAATGGAAACCATAACAATCTGTCAAATATTCGTCCCGGGTTTCCATTGAAGCTATTTTAGCAACAGCATGGGTTTGTAAGAGTGGAAACTGAAACATTCAATGCAGAGGCATTCAGTTACATCAAAATTTCCTAAAATTAACCAGAAGTTGAAAATCCCACATATCAAGCAATTATTGTTCCTCCATAAAATGTGGAACATGGAATTTTAAGTGTCCGGTGATTCTTCTGTGAAAGATACAGAATCGCTAAACTAGGTGGCTGTAAAGATCTAATGCAAACTACTTTAACAGCCATGAAGCAAGAAGTATTTGATGTAGTTAACTAAAATCTGTCTGAATTGAAGAGCTCAGAAATGCAGGCAACTGTTGAGAGTCATCGCTGTGCTGGTCAATGCCATCCCTGGAAGGGAGCATGAGAGAGAGTACACCAGAGCTGTACAGAAGTGAAAACCTTGTGTTAATTTGCTGACATGACATGGAATCTGGGACAGCTGATGGTATCACACAGGGAATACAAATAGCTTTTGGAGTTACAGGATCAAGGTTAGAACAAGATAAAAGCTAAGCTGGTCTGAATGTAGCTGGCTCAAATAGTACAGAATATAAGCTACCCAAACAATTCATAGGCCAACATTAATCAAGATGTTATTTTGTTATACTCTAGGGTAAAACCTTAGCTTACTCCTTCATGCCTGAGTTGAAACTTTAAATTGCTGGTAGGTCTTTTGTTTGTTCAGTGTTTGCTAGTGAATTGCCCTACACAGCAATAACACCCTGCTTTTACAGAGGCTTTAAGGAAGCAGAAGGTATTTCAGCATGATCTTGCAAGAAAGCTCAAAATGCCAGAAACAACAGTGCATGTTAAAACCCAGTCTATTGCATTCTTAACTCTTTAGTATTTATTTCAGAAAGCAAGTAAAGC